TTTTTTTTTTTTTTTCCATTTCATTTTGTTTTGGGTTCTTTCTGTATTACCTTAAAGTACTTTTTCAAACTCTGGATTAGAAAAACTTTCCATATCAGGTCTGCCATTTCCAATGGCAGCCGAATGGGAGAGTTACCAGCCTGAATAATATAACCCATCAGGCCACTGGTGTAGAAAGAAAAAAGGAACCCAATAATATTGTACCTTAGAACATTCTCCAAGCAGAGTTTGTCAATTCAGTGGGCTGCTTTGTTTTTCCCAATCTGCTACCATAAAGTTATATTACAGGATGCTACAGCAATAAGTCTCTCCAGAACCCATTTTACGGGGTTTATGAAAACCATCACTCTTTATAATATCCTAGAAACATTTACAACTCATTCAGAACTTCATGAGAATCCAGCTTCTCTTCAAGTAATTTTCCAATACTGCCTAAATGGTTCAGATGCGGGTAGAGAGAGCAAGTGATTCCTCGCCGGATCACAAACCCAAACTTTCTGAAGGTGGGTAATGACTAAGGAGCTTCTGCTTTCCCTTTTCTCATCATTCTGAATTGTGCTCTGCAATTTCCCGTCCTTCCTTCCTACTGGAGACCCTGAACGCACTGGTCACAATTTTGCGGTTTGCCTTCAACAACTTTTATTCCCTTAAAAAGTGCTTGCTACCGATCGAGGCTGAGTCCTCCCTTGGCCACAGTTCCACCTGGCTCTGTCGGGTGAGTGCCCCGAGGGGGGAAGGCAAGTCGTTCAGGGACGCGGCGCAGGCAGGCTCAGCCTCCGTGGGGGAATCCCTTCCGGGGCCAGTTAAGTCCTCTCTTGGACCTCGGATGCCTTTAGCTTTCTAGAGCCGAACAGCTTTCTGGGAAGACAACACATTTTGCAAGGCACACTAGTGTGAGGACGCAGCGCTTGGCCAAGAGGTCCGATGGCAGTTCAGACTAACGTTCCAGGCTTCGAATCTTCATGCCAGAACAGCCTCTGCTCCCTGCTCTCCAGGCTGTCCTCCGACCGGCTTCCCTCTGTGCTGATCTCTGGGTACTGTCTAGTAAAGGAAACCAGGAGAGTTATTACTTGTGGTCATTTTTATTACCAGAGTAGAAAGAGGACTCTACTCAAAGAATTAGTAGAAAGCACTGTCAAGGCAAAGGATGACGGCGTGTTCTTTCCTTGTCCTATTGGCGCATTGTCAAAAAGGCCCATGCAAGGTGTACTTGATTCTCTAGGGAGATATTCCTTTGTCTCACTTATTTTTAACCACGGATTAGGATCCAGATTGTGGTAAGTTACAGGTTAACTCGTAGTTTTTTTTTCTTTTTTTTTTTTTTTTGTCGGGAAGAAGTACAGATAACTTTGGTCTACCATAAAAAGATTATGGTTATAGTTTTATTGCCCTGTATGTAGGTCATTAAGTGGTTTTTTAATCTTATTTAGTAATCTTATTCCAACGTCTTAGCTTTCATTGGGTTGAATTCAGTCTTTTGAATTCTCTGGGAAGCAGCTTTCCCATTCTGTTAGTTCTCTCATTAATGAGTTAAAGAAATCTTTGACACATGCCCATTTCCTCTCTGTGTGAAAGTCGTATTTTTAACTTTTTAAAAAGTATTTTTGACAGCCACATTTTAAATATTCTTCACATTAAGGGAATATGCTAGATGCTTTCCTCAGGGACAAAGGAATATATTTAGTGGCAGGCAGGGGCACCCAGGGACAAGCCTTACATCCCTAGGGTCCATGGACCGAGCATAAATGGGAAACAACATTGCATACAAAAATCATAGGCATACTTGGATGGCATAGCCAAAGGAAGGCATCCTATCACACAAACCATTCCAATAAGCAAAACCTCATTCCTGCAGCAGTCACTTAGAACAGGTTAGAGAGTTAGTAGGTTTCTTTTCATTGTAAATTTCTTTAGTCAGGTTGGTTAAAAAGTCACTGGGAGGAGAGCTGAGGAAAGGAATACTACATGAAATCAGGTATTCAGTGTTTTCCTCTACTATAAACACAGAGTCGGAGTTCCACAGCTTCACACACCAGCCAGAACGAGGCAGACTCCTGCTACGAGGGCAAGACGGAGAAGACGGCGCTGAGGCTCTACTTACTACAGCTGGCTACACTGAGCAAAAGAGAACTGAAAACTGATCTCATTTCGGGAGACACAACCATGCTCCGTGATAGAAGCCCTCGGCGTTGCCTAGTAGAGGGAGAGTTAGATTAGGAAGAGGATGGGAAATGGAAAACAGGAAGCCAAGGGGGGAAAAATGTTATTTGAAAACACACTTGCAGCATAGAGCCAAGAATATGACTGCATTATATTCTAGGGAGCATAAGAGATGTTGCCATTTATGATTTTAGAAAGTCTCTGCCACTGACAATTATGCCACAGCATACTTGGAAATAAATTTTTATTGGTAAAAATGTGTAGCTTTCGTCAATGTTAAGAGCCAGACACTCTGGGGGAGATGATCTTGAAATACTACGTACTTGCTTTGTTTAAAAATTATTTAAATCTTTAACTTCAGGGGCACCTGGGTGGCTCAGTGGGTTAAAGCCTCTGCCTTCGGCCCAGGTCATGATCCCGGGGTCCTGGGATCGAGCCCCGCATCGGGCTCTCCGCTCAGGGGGGAACCTGCTTCCTCCTCTCTCTCTGCCTGCCTCTCTGCCTCCTTGTGATCTCTGTCTGTCAAATAAATAAATATTAAAAAAAAAAAAAATCTTTAACTTCAGGGCAGAGCTAAAGTTTTTCTTTTTTATCTTTATCTTGAAACCCAATTTCTTCTTTTAAAAAATTGTTTTCCTCAAAAATAACAATTTTACAGCACATTTCTAAAACTTAATGGATGGCTGTTGTGATACTTGCTTTGTTAGTAGGTCAAGTTAAATTGGTCACTCTGAGGTCTATATATATACAAAAAAAAAAAAAAAATCCTTAATAGGCAAATAGATGGAAACAAGCACACCCGTACCTCTGTTGCTGGGAGGGTAAATTGGCAAATCTTTCTGGAAAGCAAGTGCCTAAAAAAATACACTTTTCAATTTAATCCATTAATTCTACTTACTAGAATGTATCCTAAGGCAATAATCTGGAATTCAGACAAATATTTGCACAAAGACATTAACAGCAACATTACAATAAAAAATGAGAAAATCTAAGAACCATTCAAATTCAAAACATGGGAACTGTTAAATGAAGTATGATAGATTTACTGAGTGTAATGTTATGTGGAAAACATAAAATAAGGTTTAAAGAGTTTTAAAAAAATATGGGAACATGTTTATATTGTGATATGAAGTATAAAACTGGGATGCAGAAGACAATGAAAGGCGTACAACTGAACATAAAGTTATCATTATGGTCATGGTCATTATGAACATGTAAAAAGGGATACTGGAAAATGGAGGAATGTGTCAAAATGCTAATGGCTACCATCTCTAGATAGCAGAAGATTTCCTACTTATTTATCCCTTTATTATTTTCCTAATTTTTCCACAATGACCTCATACGATGTGCATGTGAGCACACACAATAGAGATCCTTAAATAGTTTCTAATTTCCTGTAGATTACCCCCCCTCTGACACCAGACTCCATGTCAAGCCATCTTGGGCTGGCTCTCTGAGAAAGACAGGCATACTTGGTAAAAACAGATTTTCTCCAAAAATGTTTACTGCTTCCTGAGTCCAGTGAAAGTGGTGTTAACGATTTTCAAACTGTCTTATGCGCTTTGGTACTGTTTCTCACGCAGTCCGTGAAAAGGAAAGTCAAACTATTACAAACGGGGAAAACTATTTGCAGATGAATCATACAAAATGACGAGAACTGGCTTGAAAAAGTACAGCTCCAGTTTTGGGCCAAAGGCATTTTAGTTCTTGCTCCTAACTCATTTGCAAGCATTATTTACAGAAACCCAAGCTATCTGAAGTCCCCTGAGGTATATTTTCACAAAAATTCTATTTTGAGCACCTCCTTTGTTGAGTTGAGACAATTGGCCTAACAGTTCAAGCCAAGAAAAACTCTCCTTGAACAAGGAGAAGAAAAATAAGGTTTAGGGGATTGAATACTTCCAAATCGTTTGTAACACTGAGTACTTTATTAAGAAATTATGATTTCACTCATGTGTGGAATTTAAGAAACAAAACAGATGAACACAGTGGAAGGGAAAAAAATAAAAGAGAGAGAGGGAGGGAGGCAAACCATATGAGACTCTTGACTATAGAGAACAAACTGAGGGTTGATGGAGGGAGGTGGGTGGGGGACGGTCTAGACGGGTGATAGGGATTAAGGAGGTCACTTGTGAGGAGCACTGGGTGATGTACATAAGTGATGGGTCACTGGCTTCTACTCCTGAAACCAATTTTACCATACAGGTTAACCAACTAGAATCGAAATAAAAAACTGAAGTAAAAAAAGAAAAGAAATTAACCTCTCAAATTGACTAGGATAGACACTTTGTCAAGTTATTGCCTGTGTAAGTCTCCCTATGCCTGAAGCAATTTGACCTAGAGCAAAATTATATAAAAACAAAATGCTCAGGGCACCTGGGTGGCTTAGTGGGTTGAAGCCTCTGCCTTCGGCTCAGGTCATGATCCCAGGGTACTGGGGTCGAGCCCTACACCGGGCTCTCTGCTCAGCAGGGAGCCTGCTTCCCCCCTCTTTCTCTCTGCCTGCCTCTCTGCCTACTTGTGATCTCCGTCTGTCAAATACATAAATAAAATCTTAAAAAAAAAACACCCTTTAAAAACAAAACAAAATAAAACGCTCTATTTCTTGGCATGATGGGTGTGCATTATATTCTGTGAAAGTGACAGGGAGAAAAGACCTCTTCAAACTTAATTCCTGCATCTACAAATAAGTGAAAAACGTGTAATGCGGAGTTAGTCCTCTTTCTTAAAATCACATTTTAACAAATTGTTCTTGTATATTTCCTCCCAATGTTTACAAAGAACCACGATTACAAATAGAACAGCTGGGTGTGTCTGTAGCAAATGTTCACTGAAATCAAGCCCACCAACTGTCTATGAGGAATGTTGATGTGAACAGCCTTTTCTGGAGTAGGAGGTATTTTTTCTCCAAGGTTCCAGGAGAGTCTTAAATGGGTATATCAGTAATACCATTTAAAGTACTACAATTAAAAACCCATCAGATACAGAATTTAAGACCTTCCTGAAGACTATGGAACGAAGTCAAATTTCAACATTCTAGATGAGGAGTCAACAAACCTTTTCGTAAAAGGCCAGATGTTTTTGGCTTTGTTGGCCCTGAGGGCTCTGTCACTACTCCACTCTGCCCTCACAGTACAAAAACAGCCACAGATAAAATGTACATGAATGAACATGGCCGTTTTCCAATAAAACTTAATTTACAAAAACAGGTGGCAGCTGCTTTTGGCCCGTAGGCTATAGTCTGGTGATCTTTGAGCTTTCATAAAATAGAATCGAATTCCTCAATTATTTGACCAGGAAGAGGCTACTAGAATTTTGGAGCATTGCTTTCTCACCTGGCTGGAGAGGGCAAAGGATTATAGATGTTGCCGTAGCAGCTGGTGTAGGAAGAATGTGCCGGGGTCTCGTAGTCAGATAGCCCTACTGCTATCTGGGTCCTCCAGTTCCCGGAAGCATTTGTAGAAGATACTAGAAATAAAAAGGGAAAGAGACAGAATTAGTGCGAATATTCAAAGCAAAGACTATTTAGGCCATTTATTTATTTATTTATTTATTAACGATTTTATTTATTTATTTGACAGAGAGAAATCACAAGCAGGCAGAGAGGCAGGTAGAGAGAGAGGAGGAAGCAGGCTCCCCGCTGAGCAGAGAGCCCGATGCGGGGCTCGATCCCAGGATCCTGAGATCATGACCTGAGCCGAAGGCAGCAGCTTAACCCACTGAGCCACCCAGGCGCCCTATTTAGGCCATTTAGATGTACATTATAATCATCCATGTGCAGAGATTAAAAGCCAATGTTTTATCCTATTCCAGTTTAGTCACTGGCCATGTGACCTTGGGCAAATAGTTTATTCTCTTTAAGTCTCAGTTTCTTCACTTGTAAAGTGGGGATAATAATGCAAATATACCCTGTACAGGGATGATACCAGGATTAAATAAGGTTATATATAAGAATGTTTAGCACTGTGGCTGGTATAGAGTAAACACCCCCAAAATGACAACTATTGGTGTTATCAATGGGAATAAAGTTAATTGAAAGGCAGGCTGTAAACAATACCCTACCAGACCAGTCGAATAAACATTCTCATATATGGAGAGAGTCTCTCCATTCTGGCTAGGGTGGCTGGACAGATAAGGCTTTATTTGTCAAGATAAGATGACCAGTTTGAGTTTCTCAGAGGCCTTTGGAGGAAAAGCACTCCACAAGTTGACCTGTTGGGACATGACTTGTTCCTTGGCCCAAGGCAACCAGCTGCTAGCAGGATCCACGCATAATTTTTCCCTTAAAAGTAAGTGTGTGTGGTGGAAAGGGGGGAGAGTATAAGTAGTACAGGAGGGAATTACTTCTACTGAGGGACTGAACTAGAACAAGACAAGGGCATAGTTTGGGACCAAAGCCCAGTGAACGTCACATCATGGAGTGTTTGCTGTCCTCTCTCTAAAACCAATCCTGCTCCATGCCCGGGATGCAGGTGACCACAACGCTAAGCCGGTCCAAGACCAGCACCGCTCATGGATGCTTCCGGTCACCCTCCATTTCCTGTTCTTGGCGGCCACCTTCCTCCTCTTCTCTCTCATACCCACAAAGCCCTCGTGACCAGTGCACGGCAGACGCCTTTCAAAACACATCTGTGGCCCCGGATGCCATGAGGTTTTTGACTCAAAGATGTAATTCCCTCACTTTGAGTTTCTAAGAATGTTGCATAACTCTGAGTCAGAGGCTGTGAAGCTTGGTGGTTAAGGTGTCAGAGCTGGGAGGGAATTCCCACTCAAGCACTTACGAGCTCCCGGGCTTGGCCAGGGTCATTTCCACTCTCTAAACCAGAACCGCCTTCACAGCTAGATGAGGACAGCGATAACAGACCTAACAACAGCACTCATGATCTGTGGCACACATTAGATGGGATGGGGCAGTAAGGCACCGAGCATGCGGTGTGGCCCAGGGGAAGCTGCCAAGAGATGGTGGCTGTCATTACCACCAAAACGGAGTCACCAAGAGAGTCTTTATATAGCCGCAAGGAACTACAAAACCCCTGACTATTTTGGCAGATAATAGGAAACGCTCTGCGGCGCATGCCTGTTGTCATACATTTTTGTAGCTATGAAATGTTGACAGGAATGAGGAAAATTCCAAAAGGGAATTTTCTCGAGGAGCTCTAATTCCATCCCTTTAATTCTTTAAAGTGGAATGCCTTTTGGTCTGTGGGGCCAAATTCTCCAGCTACCCGCCAGGCCCCTCCTGAGTGTGACTCAGGAAGCACTAAGTCCTTTCTCACCTTTGCCCCAGACACTGGGTCAACCACCAGTAACGCTGTGGTTTCCAAGGTATACACCTACTCGTCGCCAGCCTCCCTGCTTAAGATGGCATCACCCCAGCCCTGTGCCCTGATGACCATCCATATATACATCTCAGCCCTCCTTGTTGGTTCCAACACCCTCCTGGTGTTTGTTTTCCGAAAGATTCTCCTGTCGTGCCCTGAGCTTAGGGTGGGGGGCAGGGAAGAAAGGCGTTCCCTAGATAAGAGCCATAACTAACCAGGAATAAGGACAGGAGCCTTTTCATATGTTAGATGTGGTAATAAATGGGAAAGTTCTAGCGGAAGTCCAAAGTCCTCCAGAACAGAGGACACTGTAAACCCAAACAGAAATCTCCATGGCAATGCCTCTGGTCAACAAGCTTGGGAAATTTTTAAAGGCACAGTCTTTGTCGACTCTTACGCAATGATTTGGGAATCCCCGTGCTGTGTCTTACTAAAGGGGTCATGCCTGAAAGAGGGGAAGAACGCATGACTTCAGGTTTTCACGTAGTTCAAGAACTCATTCATTTTAGAGCCTAAAAATTGCTTAATGTGTATACATTCCTCTGGCTGCTGACTAGACTGTGCGCTCCTCAAGGCCAGAAACTGGGTCAACATTGGCTCCTCAGCATCCGGGATCTGCCTGCTTGTTTGTTGAATCAATGAAACCCGAGGCAAACACTCCTCTTTCCCCTCATTTCTGTACTTGGTGAGGTTAGTAAACAGTAAGTCTGCCATGGATTTTAGTGGAGTGAGGGGCCAAAGTCCGTGTGTGAGGGAACCTCTCTAACCAAAATTATCTTTGAAAATCCCTTACGTCAACCCTAACGTAGAGTATATATGACAACTTACTGAACTGAGTCAAGGTATTAGAAGCACGTAGAACACTATCAGGAACAGAGCTTACAAATTACTGGCTCCCATCAGAATTGTTAGGAGCCTCACATGGCCACCCGAACTTTCAAAACCAACTGCCCTTAGAGGATCAAGTTCCTGGTGGTGAACAGGGTAGGATGCATAGTCCTAATGTTTTCTGTTTACCTGATGGGTTTACTCTACTTTTTGAACAGGTCAGACATCAGGGACCTGCACACTTTTATGACATGTGGAAAAGATACACTATTTGAAAGCCCCTCACTCAGGGCAGCAGAGAGTAGGTGCTCAATGAACACTTGTTGGATTGGAATCTACCAATTGCTACAGTGGACTCCCACGGACTGTGTTCTAATTTTAGTCTATGTACTGATGAAGCGAGCACCGCGGACTATGTTCTTTGGAAAAACAAAGAGAAGAACTATTTTCAAGTTGGCGATTCTTACTGTGGCCCCACGGAATGGTACCAGGGTCACGACCTTGGGGACTGGTCCTGTGATTCCCTGAGGGGAATGGTTTGGGGGCAGCATGGGCAGGGGAGAGGAGGTAAATTCGACGCAGGGACCAAGAGCGTCCGCAGTGTTCTTACCGGAAGAGTAGGAGGATGTTCGGCTGCTGGGAGAACAGGGTACTTGCAGCCCTGCAAACCCCAAGCACCTCTGCGATCCCCTGTCTGAGTCAAAGCTAGTCTGTGGGCTGTGCCCTGGGTCCTTTTGTCCAGAGGCCCGCTGGTACCAGCCACGCAGGTGCTCTGCAACTAAGGCCTTGTGGATGTTTTTGGTGATGTGCTCCGACTTAGCAGCAGCCTTCCTAGGCAGCCGGAGAGTTGCATATGGGTTATGGGGCACATGGTCGACCTCATCCTCATGAAAGGACCTGCTGTAGTCCCGTTGGCGCTCGTATCCATAGTGGGCCGAGGAACGGTAGGAAGGATTGACGCTGTACTGTCCCTCCGTGTCGTTCTCATAGACGTAGCCTCCGCTATAATAAAGATCACACTCCGCATAGGGTGTGTACCCAGCAATATAGTAACTAGAAGAAGGTTGTTCCTGGCTCTTTGTGTAGACGCCATTCCTCAAACTATCCTTTTGTGCTAGGTTGGGCATGCTTCCTGAATTTGAAGTCGAAACATTCTGTTTCTTGGACCTTCTCCGGCCCCTGGCACGAGTGTCCAGAGTCTGGGTAGTGTAATAGGGGCCGGCGACGGGCGTCACGCAGTAATACTCCGTGCTTGACTGGCTGGTGTAGGAGGACCCGTCGTCCAGGATCTCCGTACTACTGCTTCTTTGGGATTTGGAGAGGGAGAAAAATGGCTTATCGCTGTCCATCTCAGATAGCAGGTGGGACTGAGACTCGAGGCTTCCACTGCGCTGGCGGCAATGCTGGGCTGAAGATTCGGGTCTGTGGGAGGAGAGAGGCCAATTTGTAACAGAGGAAGAAAGGACGGACTGACTGAAATGAAACACATGATCATGGCAGTGAAGGATTTTATCATCCTCAACTGTCGTAAGACTCAAGGTTTCCAAAGCTGATTGCACAAGAGGACACATTTTTCATATAACCCATCGGCTGACACACAGGTGCACTGTGTCATCGTAGAAGGAGAAGAGAACCAGGTTCTAACAACTGTGCGATCCAAAGCCTTACTCGAGAGCGGGGAAGAGAACGGATGATGCACAAGCTGCATCAAAGCCTTAAAAAAAAAGCCCAAGCGTCTTTGGAGGTTCCTCTCTTCCAACAGGAGTGAAGGAGACACAGACTAGGGCAGAGGGAGCACTGCTCGGGGGAGAGCCTGGCTCTGACAGCAGACTTATCTGGGGGGGGGGGGGGGCTTAGCTCTGCCATCTCCCAGCTGTGTGAGCTTGGGTAAGACACTGAACCTCTCTTAATCCTCATCCCTAAAACGAGGAGGTAAAACAGGATCTGAGATCTACAGTTCGGCTTGTCATGTGTACTGAATAGTATCAGGCATGTGGGGCACCTGGGGGGCTCAGTCTGTAAAGTGTCTGCCTTCGGCTCAGGTCATGATCCCAGGGTCCTGGGATCGAGCCCCACACTGGGCTCCCTGCTAAGTGGGGAGCCTGCTTCTCCCTCTGCCTCTGCCTGCCACTCACCCTGCTTGCGTTCTCTCTCTCTCTGAGAAATAAATAAAACCTTAAAAAAATTTTAAAAAATATCAGGCTTATAAAAGAGCTAGCGAAACCTTCCCTAAACGCTTCAAAGTGTTGCTCATGTCATTATCCTCATCCTCACCACCGAATAACAAACAGCGAAGTCTGGCTGGGAAAACTAAGGCACACGCACAAAAAAATCTCCTATCGACCCGCACAAAGCCTATTTTTCAGTACATTTTCTTTGCCAGTGTCACTGAACCGTTAAGTAGAAAATGTGGATCTGTAACACAGTCCCGCTGCATCGAGTCCCTTAAAATGATTAAAACGCAAAACAAAGCAAAGCAAAACCAACAAAGTAAAGCAAAATCAACAGTGTCAAAGTCACTGGAAAGAAGCACTCTTACTCCAAGTGGCTGCTGCTGTAGGCATTTCGGGTCAGAACGGGAGTGGTGGGCATGCTCCGTCCACCGGGGGGCCGCCGCTCCAGGGTTTTGTAAGGGCTGCTGTGGGTCGACAGCATTTCCCTGTGATGGGAAGAAGAATGTGGGAGATGATGAGCCTCCTAGCATCTCTGGCCAACTCGTCAACAGCCAATTTGAAACTTAGTGGAAGCTGAAGGAAAGGAGCATTGAAGAAAACGGGGCAGGGTGTCTTTGTGGTTTAGTATCCTTGTATGTCCTGGGTGAGTTTGAGGGGGAAACACAAGTGATCTCTCTAGTCATAAGGATGAAGGAAAAAAAAAAACCTTTTTTTTTTTTTTAAAAAGAAGAATGTACTGAATAAAAGGGATTGAAAGCAACTAGAGCAAGGGCAGCAAAGCCTTTTTCTATAAAGAGTCTAAGAGTAAATATTTTTGGCCTTGCAGGCCAGATGTGCCTGTCCTGACTGCTCTCCTGTGCCCCTGAGGGACAAAAGCAGTGTAGACAACGTGTACGTGAATGGGGATGGCTGTGAGCCAACAGGGCTTGACTGTGGACACTGAAAGTCAAATATCGTATAATTTTTCACGTCCCCCAATACTACTGCTTTTGACTTCCCCTCCAACTTTTTAAAAATATAAAAACCATTCTGAGCTTGTGGGCCATATAAAAATAAGTTGCAGGATGAATCCAGCCAGTGGGCTGTTGTCTGCGGGCCGTGGATTAGAAGGTAACATCTTTAAATCATTTTGTTGGCTACCCAGCACAGTGAAAACACAATCTGAAGTTCATTCTTTAATGAAAGGTGACTCTGATTATATTTTTACTTATCACAAAAGCATGTCAAGTTCACCGCAGAAAATTTTGAAAGTACAGATTAAAAAGAAAAACTTAAATATCTATCATCAGAAACCTCAGAGACAGCCAGTCGACGCTGACTATTTTCAGATATTTTTTACTAACCATACTTATAGGTATTTACAGTTTTTAACAACAAGAAAATATAATCTTACTCTATACTCTCTTTCAAAACTCACATTAAAAAAACTGTATCTAATGTTTTGTGTTGGTTACCATTCATCCACAATGTTATTTTAATGACAGTAGAGCATTCTACTGTAAGGATTTATAAATCATTTGAACAACTCACTAGTTGAGCATTTGGGTTGTTTTCAATTTGTCACCAGCGTAAACAGTAACAGGATGAGCATCCTGTAGTTAATTAATACAACAGGAAAAATTCCTCTAAGTGAAATTGCTGGATCAATGACCAAACCCATCTTAAGCTATTAAGGAAGTAGGTATAGTAATTTTTAAGATAATGATTTCTGGTCGTAAGTCTTCCTTTTGCTTCAATAGCTTTGTTTCCCCTGATATAATAAATATATTTGTCCAGGGCTGTCCAATGATAGAAATGTGCTATATCTATGCCAGTATTATAGCCATTAGCCCACATGTGTGCCCATTAGCACTTGAAATGTGGCTAGCAGGACTCAGAAGTAAATTTTTAATTTTATTTACTTTTAATTGCACTGGCTGGCACAGCTCTAGACACTTGGATTTCTATTGTTTAGGCAACAGTTCTAAAGGCTAATCTAACAGCTGGGCCTGATATGGTCTTTGACAAAGGAGAAATACAGCACAGTGCTATTTTCCTAAGTGAAGAATTATTTAATCTAAATAATCTTCCTTTATTTTAAGACTAATTTCCCCCTTCACTGAGATGCAGTGTGACATATTGGTTAAAATCACTCCATAGGCTTTGGAGTCAGGCTACATAGGTTCAAATCCTGATTCCAACACTTACAGGAACCCAACAGGTTATTCAAGCTTTCTGGTCCTCAGTGTACTTACCTGTAAATGGTAACGACACTTGTCACACTACAGACTAAATTCATTAATACGTATTAAAATACTTTGAACAGTGTCTGACATATAGTAAGCATTCAATAAATGTTAACTTCATTTTATTATTATTATTATGACAATGGCTGTATTTTTGATATTTACATGTCTTTTTTTCAATGAAATCACGGTATTATTTATGTGAACATTCTGATTAGGCAGAGTAAACATTTGGTAATTTATCTTAGGTCCTTGTTTTTTTTTTTTAAAGTAGTATTGATCCATGCAGCCAAATTCTGAGAATCACTGGTCTGTCATCTTTTTAAAAAACTGGTGGTATTGCCTGGATAATATTTATCTGAGATATTCGAGAAGAAAAGTCACATTATCTATTTTACAGATTCAAAATGAGTGGAAGTCTCATTTCCCTTGGAAAGAGTGGAAGTCATTTCTGTCACGCACACTGATAGCGTGGTATTTAACGTCCATTTCCTGAGAGCATGGGTTTTGAAATGGAACTTCAGACGTTATATCCAAATCCAGATTATAAATAACACCCCTGGAACCTAACATAAATCCAACAGACTTTAAAATATAGGAAAGTGCCAAATGCTTTGAAAAGAACTCTTAGAAATGTGCTCGTTGTCAACAACAAATAACGGGGTGAGTTTCTATGCTTTGGTTTTGCAGGATAACCCCTTCTGAAAGGATAAAAAGGCTAATGCCCCAAAGAGTCAACTGTTTTGGAGGAAAGGTCTCACGGCTGTGAGGCATCTGTCTCCCTGGAGATGGGATTTCTCACCTGGACTGCCTGGTCTCCACAAACTGTTCATTGACGGATGACTTTCTGAAATGGATTCGCTCAATACCGAGAGACTTGGGAGGAAGAATTCTTGGAGAATGAGGTACTGAACTTGGTCGCTGCCCAGCGAGAGTGAAGGTGTCATTGGCTATAATAAGTAAATGAATGAATGAATCAGTAAGTAGGTAAATAAATAAGGCAATAAATACCTTTCCAGCCCTCCAAAAAGCAAATCAGAAGATCTGATGTTTTTAGAAGTGTATTATTTCAGGACATTTATTTTTATACTTTATACACTAGAAAACGGAAATTACTGAATACAATTGACCCTTGGACAACACAGGTTTGGACTGCATGGGTCCACTTACACACAGATTTTTTTTTTTTTCCGATAAATATAGTACAGTATAGTAAATGCATTTCCTCTTCCTTATGATTTTCTTAATAACATTTTCTCCTCTCTAGCTTACTTGACTGTAGGAATACAGTATATAATACATTTAACATACAAATATGTGTTAACTGTTTAAGTTAATGATAAGGCTTCTGCCAAAACTAGGCTGTCAGTAGTTATGTTTTGGGGTAGTAAAAGTTATACTTGGATTTTCAACTACCGGGAGTGGGACCACACCTAACCCCCACATTGTTCAAGGGTCAACTGTTCTCTTGTGGGCCTGATCCAACTTTTCCCAGTTTAGTAGGTAATAAAAGCAATAACTATATTCTCTGAGCAGAGAAATCATTCTGGTAGAATGGGTGATACTATAGTTTTTCTAGAATTATATTAAAGAAAACCCCCAGTGTGTATAGGGCCAAAAGGAAGTTGGCCAGTAAAGCTGGCGTGGATCACTTTTGTTCACCTTTCAAGTTCTTAGGCCTCGTTGGCCGACCAGGGGCTCATCCTACCATTGAAAGTGATATAACTGATGTATGCTGAGTCATCAGAGACTTGATATGTCTCCTGCTGACATCTGCATTTTCAAAGAGGAATGGAAAACATGACCCAGCTTCAGCTCAAAGGAAAAATTTTGGAGTGGTGGAGTCTGATGCACCATCAAACTTGGGGTGGGGTGGGGATGGGGGAGATAAAGCCATATGGGTTAGTGGCTTCCCAGAATTCTTTACATCATATCAGACAGTCACTCCTCTGCTTAAGCGCCAGGGATTACAAGGAAGCACTTTCCTATTCAATATGAAATCCATTCCATCATCAAATGTGCTGAACAAACACAGGCCATCAAAACATGTGGCCTTCCTCTAGGAAACCAATACAATGACATGTAACCCAATTTCTTCCTAAGGAAAATAAACTCCTAGCCATCCAGAATACAGGGATAATCAAAGTCTACACTATATTTTACAGTTTGAGATAAGACTCCAAATATAGAAGATTCACCTGGGAAATCTTGGGAAAGAAAACTTGGGAAAGTTGCATGAAAGGCTCTGAATATCTATACAAATCCCCATGAACCTGTAATTACTTCAAGAGAAAACATTTAAAAAAAATCCTACAGAGGGGTGCCTGGCTGGCTCAGTCAGTAGAGCATATGACTCTTGATCTCGGGGTCCTGAATTCAAGCCCCACCTTGGGTGGGGAGCCTACTTAAAAGTAAAAAAAAAAAAAAGGAAAGAAAAAAGTAAATAACTAAGAATGCTAATTAAAAAAGTTCTATAGAGGCTCACAAACCCTTATTGATAGACTGACTTAGTTGCATAATAGTATTCTGATTTCCTAAGTTCAAGTGGTCTGTATGGTACTGTGTTTAATGCTGAGTTAACCTCAGTAGAAGCTCATCATAATCTCCCTTCCCCAACCATTCTGTATAAACGTTAGTTCATTCTACTTTTCCCAAAAGAATAACACATAGGCTTTACTTCAAGAAATTGTCTTAATATTTCAGAACATATGACATTTGAAAATGAAAAAGAAGAGCTACTCACAATCATCATAGGTGGTAGTGTCAGACAAGGAGCTGCTCTCCGATGGGATTATGTCTTCTGTGAATAAAAGTAAGTGCCTTTAGAATATCTGGGCATTTATACACCTACAGTGAATTTCATAAAGCATTTCTCAATACAGTGCATCTTATTTTTATTTAGTAAGTATAAATAATTATAGTGCATTAAGAATAATAAGAATGGAATCATTTACTAGTAAAGATATAAACATCTTAGAATTGTACAAATATAATACTGGACTATTTCTTTTATTTTTTATTTTTTTAAGATTTTATTTATTTATTTGACAGGGAGAGAGAGAGACAGCAAGAGAGAGAATAGAAGCAGGGGGGGCGCCTGGGTGGCTCAGCGGGTTGGGCCTCTGCCTTCGGCTCAGGTCATGATCCCAGGGTCCTGGGATCGAGCCCCGCATCGGGCTCTCTGCTCAGCAGGGACCTGCTTCCTCCTCTCTCTCTCTCTGCCTGCCTCTCTGCCTACTTGTGATCTGTCAAATAAATAAATAAATAAAATATTAAAAAAAAAAAAAAAAAAGAATAGAAGCAGGGGGAGTGGGAGGGGAAGCAGGCTTTCTGCTGAGCAGGGAGCCGGATGTGGGACTTGATCCCACGACCCCGGGATCATGTCCTGAGCCAAAGGCAGATGCTTAATGACTGAGTCACCCAGGTGCCCTGACACTGGACTTTTTCCTAAAATGGAACAGATTTAGGGGCTCTTGGGTGGCTCAGTCAGTTAAGCATCTGACTCCTGATTTTGGCTCAGTCATGGGAGTCCCAGGGTTGTGAGATCAAGCCCCACACTGGGCTCCACTCTCAGCAGAGTCTGCTTGAGATTCTCTCTTCCTCACTCTCTGTCCCTCCCCCACTCATGCACTCTCTAAATAAATAAACAAATAAATAAAATCTTTAAGAGAAATGGAACTGATTTCAATGCAGTTTTTGTTTTCAATTTATTTTCAATCTAGCTTCTACATGGCATGAAAACTTTACCTTATACATTGAGAGCTTACGACCAATAAACTGGAAAGAAAAATTACGCCATTCATGTCATAAATGTGAAATGTTATGCAAAATACAGTTGAACCCTCATTTGAAAATGAGGGTTGAAAATAACTGCTGTTAGTATAAATTATTTTTCGACCCCTCCCTGAAGACAAGGGCCTTTTTTTAATAGGTGAACACTTGGTGGTGCACGAGCACTTCAGTTAGACCCGGGTTTCTCATGTGGCACTACTGACATTTTGGACTGGACCATCTTTGCTGGGGGGAGCTGTCCTTTACATTGTAGGATCTCCAGCCTCCAACAGCTGTCAAACAGCAGCTCCGCCACGCCCCATATCGACAACCAAAAATGTCTGAGGATATTGCCAAACATCCCCTGGGGGTGCAAAAGTGCTCTTGGTTGAGAACTCCTGAATTAGATAGACCTGGGTTCCCATCTTGATTTTGACACTTACTAGCTGTGAGACCTTGGACAAATGACTTCACTCCTCTTGGCCTCACTACCTAGTATGCAGTGCTAAGGTGATTAAAATAACAGATGTCAAGCCCTTAGCCCAGCTCCTTGAACAGGACAGATGCTCAATAAATATTATAGCTATTGTTGAGCCTATAAATAATATAGTTATTGCTTTTATTACCTAGACACAGCATTCTGGTGGTTGGAAATACCCATAATGTTCCTAAGTATTAGTGCTACCCATCCAATGTTAAAAAAAAAATGTATGTAGCAACAGGAGGCAACTCAGATGTGCACATCTGCCTTGGCAAATCATTCCACACCCAGGGTCAGGTCCTGGCGAGGTAGGCTTCGATGCCATCATGAAGGAAATCTCGCCCATCTGATCTCAAATGGCAATCTCCACCAGAGCCAGGCAGACGATCTCTTAACTGTACACACAGTAGAGTCTGAAGGCAAGGTGCCAGCGTAGTCAGCTGTCAGGCACACTTAAAAAAAAATCTACCCCATATATCTCAACCATGGCACCATTTGCTGCCCAAATGTCACTCATTGTAAAGGAGATCACTTGAATCTTGCACAGTTTGCAGATGAATGGGCCACAACAAATGGTTATGAAAGTTAAGTACATCGCTAATCACCCGTCTCCGTAGGTCCAGAACGGAACCACCTCCAAAGCCAACTGGACGTCTCATTTGGATTCGAAGCCATCCTAAATTCTCCAGCTGTAGTGGATGAACAAGTGTTCGTCCCTTTCCAAAAAGCTGTTATCTCTGCTTTATAAACCATACCTCCCCAAACCCGAGTATACGCCAAACCTAGTCACCACATTTCATCCAATCTGACATAATTATTTTATGTCTCAGTAAAACGAGAAAAAGTATTGGCAATTGTAACTGTAACACACCATCTAGTGTAAAATTATTCAAATTTCACAGATGTTTAAATGTGAAAAAAAACAGTCTTGGGATCAAGGAAATCTAATCATAGTTCAACCAGCGATCAAGGCTGAAAACCATGCTGATAAAGTAAGGCCAAGTGAACCTGAAATGGACTTAAATGAGATTTTCAGTGTACTTTTTTTTTCTGATTATGAAAGTCTTAAGGATATAATGTTGAGAATTTTGAAAATAGAAGAAAAACAAGTTATTCGAAATACCACAACTACTAGCATTTTGAAATATTTCCCAACGAGTTGTTGTAGGTCCATCTTCACATGATGTCGGGGTCATGTTGTGGTTATGATCGAATACCCCGCTTTCTGCATTTCGTGTTTCCTATCACAACATTTGTCCCGAGCTTTAAATAACCTCCACAACTGACAGGAACTGTAAGAGCTCTTTTCACAAATGTTGGATAGGCCCTTCAACAAATGTTATGTCCCTGCGTTAAAACCCTTTGAGAAACGGCTGGGTAGGCCCAACTCTCTTTACTACTCTGTGCTGCCAACTCTATTTCCTGCAACGACGTCAGGCCAGTAAAAGGGGATTATGAACCAATACTGCTATGAATGTGCCTTCAAACCGCAAATGAAAGCAACGCAATAGTGTAGTATTACCATAGTGAGAATGTCCGTGAAAACCACGTTTACCCACTTGCAAGACTGACATCCCAAACCATTTTCCCCCTAAGAAACTTACTTTTAAAACCAGTCCTTTCTTGTCTCTCTCACCCAATGAACTTGGAAATGCTACTACCATCATATGTGACCGGAAAAACCTTACTTATTACGAACCTGGTAAAATAACTGTGGCTTTCTGGCTGGGCTTCTTTCCACATCTGATTCGATATTCATTTATTGCGTTTTCAATCTCCTGAAGCTTCTTCACTGCCTCTGTGTAATCTTGCTTTCGTTTTTTCTTCACGGTTTTACAAAGGTCTGGTTCGTTGGCAAGTTTCTTCGCAGCTTCGACTAGCTTTTGCTGTATGAGGAAATTGCTCTCCAGGTCTTGCAAAGCAGGATCCTGCATTTAGACAATGATACCAGTTCTTGTACATTCTCAGATCAGAAGCTCTTTGAGAATAAAACCTTCCTAAGTTGACGGCACAGGCATCTTCCAACACTTTTCTAGAAGACCAGACCTCCCTCATCCACTTACTTACACTTACTGTTTTCCTTTTAAAGAAGGGAATGGCCTTTCCTTCATGTAGTGGGTCAGGTGACAATTATATTTTTCAAGGAGAGATTCCCATTCCTAAGCCAAGATTCACAGACACAGAAGGTTGTATTTATATGCTTAGCTTTAGAGACAGATACATTTGGGTTTGATTTCTCTTTCTGGTGGTTCACTCTTGAGTGACCCTGGAAACATGCTTAATTTTTTTTGTTTTTTAAAGATTTTATTTATTTATTCTACAGACAAAGATCACAAGTAGGCAGAGAGGCAGGCATAGAGAGAGGGGGAAGCAGGCTCCCTCCTGAGCAGAGAGCCCGATGCGGGGCTCGATCCCGGGACCCTGGGATCATGACCTGAGCCGAAGGCAGAGGCTTTAACCCACTTAGCCACCCAGGCGCCCCAACATGCTTAATTTCTTAGTGCTGCAGGCTTTTTTTCATTCTGCATCTCCATTTCAAATGGAGAGAATATCTACCTTGTAAAAATATGGCAAAGTTTAAATGAGATAATACGTGTGCACTGCTTAGTTCAGGACTGGGTATACTCAGTAAGTTTCAGAGCTCAGGGGTGCCTGTGTGGCTCAGTCAGTTGAGAGTCTGACTCTTGATTTTGGCTCAGGTCACAGTCTCAGGGTCATAGGACAGAGTCCTGTGTCGGGCTCTGTGCTCAGCGAGGAGTCTATATGAGATTCTCTCCCTGTCTCTCTGCCCCTCCCCCTGCTCATGCAGGTGCTCTCTCTAAAGTAAGTAAAGACAGCTTTTTAAAAATTTGCAAAGCTCACTCTACTATGGATGGAAACTGCTATCATTTTCTACAGCCATGATGGCTAAATCTGGGTAAGAAACAGGAGTAGGGCCCTACGATCTGATGATACGCAAATGAAAAAGTTCACCCTATACTAGAACTTTATTATACCTGAATGCTGCCCGTGTATTATGTCATTTATGACACCCTGTATCCGTTAGCAGGAAGAACGAAGATGACCCTCATTTTATGGATGAGGAACTGAGATCTGAAAAATGACACACCAGAAAGGGCAAACGTATTTGTCAAAGGTTTCTCTGTTTTACGTGGAAGCGTCTAATGCTGGAGTTCTTCATTCTTATGGTCAAGGTTCTCAGTTTATAAACATTTGGGGTTTGTTTAACGCTCTCTATGCCTGGGAGGAGTAAAGTAGTGAGAAAGAACTCAACCGTAATTGGACTGTGCATGAAAGGAAGAATTCAGTTTGGTCTACTACATCACTTTCAAGTGGCAAGATAGCAAGGTTCAGCAGGGACTCAAAAACCAAAGGAACAAGTTTTCTGTCCTGTTAATAGAATTGCTCAGCGTTGGTGCTCCTACCTCTTCACTCGCCAGCAGGCTGCCGTCCAATTTGAATGCGGTGCCTACACGTCTTCTGACCTGAGGCGGTTTCTCACCTACGTTCAGGGGATATTCCTTCGGCATTTTGCCGGTGAGCTCCTATAAAACAGGACAGAACCAAGAGGGGGTAAATGACACCCACCAGATTGTCAGACACAGTGTGACGAGTCCCCCCAAAGCAGAAGACACTCACAGCCTCCCGCAAACAGATCTTCTTAAGCTCCTCGACTTTTTTCAGGAGCTTTTCCTGCAAGAGCTTTTCCTTCTTCTTGAGCTCCAGGATTTTCTCTCTCTTTTGCTCCTCGCTAACTTCTGAGTCTTGAGAACCTGGAGGGATTGGAAGGGAGGGCAGGGAAGGTTTATACAAGGCATGTTTCCTTCCTTTTTTAAAGGACAAAGGACTTTTAAGGTTGACCTGCTATTAAATAATAATTTATTTCTTTTCTCCTTGTTTCCGAACATAATAAAAGGAAACTGGAGAACATTTTCTCATGCTTCTGGGCATCCAATGCAGCCTGGTAATTATATATACCCTCTGTATTTTGGCTCAGTCATTTTAGAAGCAATGATAAAATGTTTAATGTTTCAGACACACCCAAGGAAGAATTTCATTTTTCTGAGCAGGAGAGAAGGTAAGATGTTCCTGGAGATAGTTGTTTAGAATGTCCTGGTAGAAAGCAGGCAAGCAAGGCAAAGGAACGTTCTGTGCCTCAGATTAAGAGCTGACAATAGGATTTAGATGGGAAGAATTCATTTGAGTGAAGTTAGGTATACTCAGTGATAAGAGACTGCAGAGTTTCTACGGAGGAAGGGCTTTAGGGCAGCAGTCACACTGGGAGGTGGGGTTGGGGTGAGGTTTGATGCTTGTAGTCATGTTTGACTATATATTAAGTAGAGCATTAGACAACTGTCTGAATCAAAAACTAAATATTGGGAGAAGAACTCGATAGAACAGATGAGGAGAAAATGTCCTTTCATGTTAATCCTGAGGCGTTCACTATCTTTGTAACTAGTGTTGTTCATACAAGCTGACTCTTTATAATTTAACTTTCCTTCCACTTCTTAAAACTTTGGTTTATGCTACATGTTGCAGGTTTTTTTTTTTTTTTTTTTAAATTTTTTATTCATTTGACAGAGAGAGAGAGAGATCACAGGTAGGCAGAGAGGCAGGCAGAGAGAGAGGGAAGCAGGCTCACCGCTGAGCAGAGAGCCCGATGTGGGGCTCGATCCCAGGACCCTGAGATCATGACCTGAGCTGAAGGCAGAGGCTTAACCCACTGAGCCACCCAGGTGCCCCCATGTTGCAGGTTTTGACAGGCTTATTCATTCCCCCAAATAATGGGCCTAAAATGCATTTAAAAGTGGTTTATCAGCCCCCAAAGTAGTTTATGACCAAAGTGAAAAGTAAAGATCACTGGTACTTTCCAAAAACGTTACCTGAGGAGATTAAACTGCCATTGCTCGCCATGATGAACTGACTTTTTGCCTCCAGTGTCACCATTTTGGAGACCCTGGGTGTTCCTGTCTCAGTCAAATCCATCGCGATATCATCTAAACTCCTGGCCGAAGGAATTTTTGCCTAAGAGGTATACAACATGGAAACAGAATTCATTCAACTGAACCTATTTTAAATGAATAAAATGATTAAGTTACGATGGAATAAGTATGTTAACACAGAGGACGATTTAGAATTTTTACATGCCCAAGTGACACTTCAGAAGAATAAAAAAAATATAAGACTTAGGCTTTACATCGACAAAGTTTAAATACGCATGACCCTCTCTCATGGTATATAGTTCAGTCATTAACTTTAGAACGCCACCTGTGTCCATGTACACACTTGCCAAAAAGTTGGCACGTCTTACAACTCCTAGATCAGGCTATAAAATGCGCCTGTTTTAGATGTAAGAAAAATTAAAACAGTTGGTCAGAAAGTTTAAAAAGCAAAAACTCAAAGAACAGAAACCCACGTGCTTGCACCTTTTCTGAGAAAGCTTATCTTGAAACAGAAAGCAAATGAGGGAGGGAAGTCTGTTCCTATAGAAATGCTCCAGTGACTTACTTTGCTTTGCTTCCGGTCCAAGTAAAACTGATGCTGACTAATTGCCATTACCCAGATGGACTTGATGAGGGAAGGATTTGCATACCACGTTTGCACGAAGAGGCCACTTTGCCCAAAGGTTCTTCTTGACACAGAAATCCTGAAAGATTAAGGAAAATATTCAATTCATTCACCTCTGGCCCAGCACACCACAAAAGGTACCCACTGAGGAATGTGACCATGAAGTATCTTTTTAATTGTTTTCTGGCTGCCACACTCTGATGCCGACAGGAGCCAAGATTTGATCTTCTCCTTTTATGAAGAAACCCACTACAACCAGATAATCTCTTTTTTGGTAAAACTGGCATGTTTAAAAATGCATGTACACATACCCCAAATGATAAGAAGTACTCAAATTAGGGGCTATACTAAAAACTTCTACTTAAAAACCACAGGATGTGTGAGCATCACAAGAGGTCAGGAATGAAGGTGATCATATATCAAAGATAACCCAACTGAGAGGGCAGTGTCAACACCTTCCTCAAGGTCAAAGAGCATTTCAGATCTAGGTAGGCTTGGGTGGGTCTGACATCATCAGAGGCTGAGCAGATAATATGGTCTGCAAATATACAAGTCTGACACTGTTCCAGTGTCCTGCTTATGCACCAGATAAGAGAAGGAGAGATGGTCAGGAGAGGGTGAAAGGAGTTGGGGGGGCGGGTAGGCAGATGCTGTGGGGAAGGAGGGAGAAGGGTACTAATGTTCTTTGTAGGAATCTGGCTTATCTCTTGGTCCTCTTTTTGTCACAGCTGTTTCCCCCATCCCTCTGACCTCCAAGCATCCATAAACATATCTGAAAGGCAAACACTGGGGACTGATAATGAATTCCTGTGACGAGCTCGGAGAGCCTCCAATCCTGACTTCAATCCGTGGTTATAACTTGGCAACTGTTGTTTTAGAAGTGACCAGGAATACCAAATTAAAAAATGAGCACGGGATCTGAACAGGTATTTCTCTACAGAAGGTACCCAAGTGGCCAAAGAGCACATGAAAAGACACTTAGCCATCGTTAGTCATGAGGGAAATGCAAATCCAAACCAAAATGGGCTATCACTGTATGCCACCAGGATGACTATTAAAAAACCAACAAAACACAACTCAAGATAACTGTTAGGGAGGATGTGGAGAAAAGGGAACCATATCCATTGTCGGTGGGAATGCAAAATGGTGGCGCTTCTGTGGAAAAACTGTAGCAGTTCCTCCAAAGGTTAAAGAGTTACCACTGACCCAGCAATTCCCCTCCCAGGTCTATCCCGGGGAAATGAAAACATGTCCGCACAAAGCCTGGCACATGAATGTTCCCAGCAGCATTGTTATGGAGATAGTCACTGGGACCACACAAAGAAAAGGCTGTCCCCCTCACCTCCGTGGATCGTGAACTTCAACGGCGAATTTCTTCTCACGGAAATATAAGTTCTCCAGCTGTTTCCATTGGAATAACTAAGAAATTGAGAACACAGAACAGACGCACCACATTAATTAATGCTGATTTTTAAAAAATATTTTATTTATTTCTTTGACAGACAGAAATCATAAGTAGGCAGAGAGGCAGCAGAGAGAGAGGGGGAAGCAGGCTCCCTGCTGAGCTGAGAGCCCGATGTGGGGCTCGATCCCAGGACCCTGGGATCATGACCTGAGCCGAATGCAGAGGCTTTAACCCACTGAGCCACCCAGGTGCCCCATTAATGCTGATTTTTACTAAATCTGGAACTCAGCTTAATCGCCAAATAATCAAGAAGGTACACTAAGGCAAAGCACGAATACATGGTGCGTCTTTTACAAACCAACAACCTGAAACCATTCAATTCCTTTTTCTGACAGTAATCAGGCAAGTGTGGGGAACACGCATATTATTTTTCCTCTAACTCTACTAAATAAAAAATAGTTAGGAAATCCTCGCAGTTTCCAGTAAATACATGCCTTCTGATCAAAGATGTTGACTTCATATTTAAATGGAAATATGGTCGAAGGGACGTTTCAGTAGAACCACAGGATGAAATTTCAAAAGAATGCAAAGTGAAAGTAAAACGGAACCCCAAGCAGGGGTGCTTCTCTGTGACACCAGTTTCCCACCTAAAAGAGTTCCCCTAAATGTAACAGAAACCCAGCACCAGGACAGGGGTAAATATGCCGTTGCCCTCTTGGTTTCTGCTAGAGCCTCCAATCTTTGTCAACAGACTTTCATATTCCCACCGCTGATATTCTAATGCTGCACTCGGTGTCCCCTGCCAATTGGTTGGGAGAAACAGAAGTTAGCTAGCAATGTGCATTTAAAGATCAAATAATTTGTAAAAGGCAGCCCATTCACGAGACGGAGTGCCCTGCTGTATTTTCTGGGTTTGTTCCCAACCCCCTTGTACTAGCCTGAGCCTCAGCTTTTTCTCTCAACTTGGAACTTGTCCCACTATTGATGATTAGTAGACTTTGGCTGGAGTTTGAAATTAATGCTCAGAGAATCTCAGGGGAGAATTTGACTTGTCTAATTGCAAAGCACAACCATGTCCCAAAGTACAGGAGCCAAGACTTTTTACGAACATGTGAACCTCACGTAAAGGAACAGCATGAACTTAACGTCCGCGTGCACGCGTAACTGGGAGACAAAGGTGTTCCAAGTGGACCCTCAGTCCCCAAACACAGAGAAACCCGCACATGCTAAGGACACAGCCCTTCGTGGTCCACATGCAGTCAGTGTAACCACAACAATCACCCAGGTGGAAAGAGTTTAACTAGTGAAAGCTTAAAGCTACATACCCATTTCCTAAAATGTCCGTAGACGGGGCGCTTTCATTTCTTTTCATCCAGAGATTCCAAAAATGGGACAGAATTGTGAAGGAAAACCCCGAGGTTCGTTCTACCTCCCTCTCCCAGAGAGCAGCTCCGGTGAGCTCTGAACGGAGTTTCATAAGACACCTAGGTGTAACTCAGTTTCACAAAGAGAGCCTCCCACGGCTGACACGCTACTGACATCAGCAGCTCTAGCGAGTGACACCTCCCCAGTTCCGCTCCTTCCCCCCCTCTGATCAGGGAGAAAGAGGGCAAAGTTCTCCCTGGCAGATCTTCCCAGAAGGGAGACACATTCTTTTAAAATAGGCCAGAGCATGGATCCCGATGATAACTTCCTGGGAAATGAGTTGCTTTGAATCCAGGCACAAATTTCACTGGGGGCTGTCTCCGGGAGACATTTCTACCCCGGGGTTTACTCACTCTGGGCATGAACAGGTTCTACAGGAAGAACCACAATGCAGCTCAGCTGTGTTTTCCTTTGCGTCCATTCCCACACACATAAAAACCAGGGCTGGACTTGAAACATGATCTCTGAAAGCCACCACATCCCCCTCTTATCACTTACAAAAGTGAAATACTAGCGCTTCTGCCTTCATTCAGCAAGTCCCTGCATCGAGAGCAAATAGACTTCCTGCAAGCAAAAGACCCTACTTAAAAGGTGAAAGGCTCTGGTTTATTTAAGGAATTTGAAGTAATTCGATGGCAACTGGGTCTGCAAAAGAAGTTAATGGTACGAGACTGAGTCTTCAAGTCTAAAAGGCAAAGCCATTTCTTCACCTGAAATCTCAAGTTTATGGAAAATGTGATTTCACAGATGTGTCTGTAATAGCCCAAGTGAACTGGAATGACACTTAATTCGTACTGACTGTTGCTGCTAGGGTGTGGATGGTGGAGGGTACCAGGGGTTTGCATTCTGGTTCCCTCACTTGTTTTTTGGGGGGCGGTGGAAGGGAGTTGCTTAGCTTTTCTGAGTCTCAGCATTCTCATCCACAAAATGGGAGCAACGCCTGCTTCAGATGGTTATTGCAAGGGGTCAGTGAGGTTATGTTTATGAAGCACTTAGCCCAGTGTCTGGTTTAGAACGAACATTCGGTAAGTGATAAGGCTAGTTGTAACTGTTATGAAGGATGCTCCATCCAAGTCCCCAATGTTATATCATCTCTTTGTGAGGATGGAGGACAGCCACGTAATAGGAGAAACAGAAGTAGAAAGAGCTGTCTGGTTCCCACCTCTGTCTTTCCACTGACACATCGGGTTTCCAACTCCGTGAGTTTCAGCCCGTGTAAAAACTGCTGTATTTCTGTTGATTTCATTGGCGGTTTCCTGATACACCCTCTGGGTAGGAAATCTGCTCACAGTTCCTTTATCACGGAGGTCAGAGTGGAGGGAGGGAGGGGCGGGTCAAGGGCATGCCCACACAGAGACCCGTGGTAGCAAGCTCCCTCCTGTCTGGGGTACCCAGAAAAAGGAACGTGCCCTGGCATGTGCAACAGTGCTGAGGAGTGTGCACCTGCCACAGGCTGGGGGTGAGGGGAGGGGACCTCCTGGGGTAATAAAAGACCGAGGGAAAACCTTGGACAGAAAGGATCAAACTGTCTTTTTGAATCTTAAATCAATATTAGGGGTCACCCAAAGCTATAACACCATGCCAGGATGGGGAAGGCATCATCATAGGCTTTTCTTTTTTTTTTTAATAGCACTTATAATATAGGTTAATCATTTAACTGCAAGTTCACCTGGAAATGACTACATTTGGGATAGTCACAGCTGTACTCTATGACTGTACCTCAAACAGTGACTCACGTCGGGTGATCCCTTGCTGTAACTGGAAGCAAAACCAAATCATTCTATTATTGATTTATGCTTTTTTTCATTTTAAAAGAAGTTATACTTGATGAATGTACTGTTAGTACTCATGATCAAGCTAGTGGATGTGTTTTGCCTTCTGGAGTCCCACAAAGACAGAATTTTGCAGGATCACAGGCTTTTAGAAAGCCAGACTGACCACTTCTATCCATCCAATGCTTCTGTGCCTGAGAGTGAGTAACCCCCAGTATACTGGGGGTTACTACTTAGAGCCTCATTTTGTGAGACAGACCACCGACGCTCAGAGAGGTTTACATACATCATCCAAGGTCCCGAAGCTAAATGGAAGCAGATCTGTTATTCACAACCAGCCACAACCGGGCTCCCCAAATCCCAGGACCTAACCAAAGCACACCATCCTGCCTCACTCTTCTGGGAAGAGGACTCGATGGAGATTTGTTACTTTTTTTTTTTTTTAAGATTTTATTTATTTATTTGACAGAGAGAGATCACAAGTAGGCAGAGAGGCAGGCAGAGAGAGAGGGGGAAGCAGGCTCCCCGCTGAACAGAGAGCCCCATGCAGGGCTCGATCCCAGGACCCCGAGATCATGACCCGAGCCGAAGGCAGAGGCTTAACCCACTGAGCCACCCAGGTGCCCAAAATTTGTTACTTTTAACAAACACATGGCATAATTCTCAAATCAACCTCACAAGGAAAAAAAAAAAAAAAAAACAAAACAACAACCCAGCAGTTATAACAGCCATTTGCAGAAAAGGACTCTGGGACCCTCAAATTGTATTTGCACTAGTGGTAAATATCTCAGCCCGCGATATTTACATCACTCCCTCCTCATCCACGACCCTTGGGTCACTTGGCGGTGTCTGGAGACATTTCTGGCGGTCACACTGCAGGCATGGGTGTTCTGGGCAGCTGGTGGGCAGAATCCAGGGACGTTACTGACTATCAGGCCATGCTGGGAACAAAATTATCTGGCCCCAAATGTCAACAGTGCAGAGACTGAGAAAGCCTGATTCAGAGAATACATTTTGGTGATATACCTATGCTTTGGTAGGTGGAGTGTGTTGATGTAGAAGATAAAATGTTTGCTCCAAAATAATGAAAGCCGGGGTCCTATTTTTCTCGGTTAGGCAATCCCCACAGGAAATGGTTCTTCCGATTTTCTAAATGCAGATGTTACCCACCAGAGGGACTGAACACCACCCAACAGACTAGAAGAGGCCATGCTAACACAGTCAGGTGAGCCGAACAAAAATGCTATACCCAAATGGGATGCACTTGGGTAGCGAAAATTACCTTTTGAGATGTGATATCATAACCTTCCATACATGAAACATCACATCTTAAATGCAAGGAGTACAACACTCGGCGTATTATAGAAAGAGTTCAGATGAAGTTCTGGTCATCGGGAAATGCGTAATATAAAACTCTGACCATCCAAGGGGATGTGATCTTCCCAGACTGCCACTGTGGCCAAATCTGGAACCTTCCAGGGCCAACCTAATGACTTCCTATTAATACTTGCAGTAGAGCGCTCCCCTCCACACATTCAGTTCGACCAGGGCCGACCTGCTGCTGAGGGCCACCTGCACGGCTCATTTGGGTGTTTACAACTGGCATCCCTTCTCACAGCTTGGTGTCCAGCCCAGTTATTAAATATTTCAGGAAAACCCCTAACTTTGAATATATTTCTGTCTTTCCAGATGGGCTGTCAGGTCCTTAATGACAGGAACTTCTCTTTTCCTTAAATGGAATAAAGACTATAAAGTACTAGGCTCAGGGTCCTTGTAAATGGGCTCAAAACATTTTTGTTGTTGTTGTTAAATTGTAA